GATATGGAATTAATATTGAGCCAATAAAAATGAACGTAACTTTTCAAGAAACGAATGAAAATATAAATTGAAACTGAATAAAATATCTTTGAAACTGAAAAAGAATGAACCGCAAGCAATTTTTTTGACTTTGTTTTTAATACACTACATGTTTTGCTAACTATTCCTCATATTTCGTTTACTGATCTACACTTACAAATGCGCTTCCAGAGTTTCATTTACGCTTCTGAAGTTTTCGTTTACACTCCCTGAGTTTGCGTTCGCTGTTCTGACAAAATCTCTCGTGGGGCGGGGCTAGTAGCAGTGTATTCTCATTGGCTACTGAGTTTTGATTGACAGCTTCTTGACCTGGAAGTGAAGACGTCAGAGTTGTGTTTACACGTGTGGATGTGAGCGTCTGTAAGCGCAGCTTTCTATTTAATTTTAGTGATATTAAGTTATGGTTGTTTTTTAATTTTATCTGTATTTACCTTCTGCTGCGATTACTTTGTCACAGAAGCTTTTAGGTTCACAAGAGATCAGTCTATTCAGGTGTAATTGTACATCAAAGTAGGCCCACTGTATATGACTACTTAAAATATTTTGTCCAATGTTTTAGGAGAATATTTGTTTATTCTTGATGATTCGTTTGCATGTTAGGCTCTGAATAGGTTGTGCTATACAATATAAAGAGAATAGCCTACTAGTATACGTGTGTGATATATTCAGCAGTCAAGAAAGTTTCACTTCAACCAGGTAATCAAGGTTGGCAACCATGGCCATCAAATTTCTCATTGTTACCATATGCATTTACACCATCAAATGATCATGTATGATCACTTAAATAAGAGGAATTTAAACTATATGAAAATTACAATCGTGGGTTGCTGTCAGATGATACAGACCTCAAAGGGCATTTCATTACATATTTTCACACAAAGAATATTTTGTTGGTATTTTTTTAATCATGCTGATCATTTTATTTATTTCATTTTGTTAATATTATTTTCTAACATTTAAAATGGTAAATATATTTGAACAATCATCAACAGGTTCAATTATGACTTATAAAATCAGTTAAATGAATTTAAATAAAAAATTTCTAATAAATGTATTCATTCTTTATTGTCACTACAGCATATACACAAGTACCAAAGTGAAAGTCTTGGATGCAGTTATGACAGGAAAGACCAGAATCCACAAAACATTAACTGCATACTATACATGTAATGCACAGTATTCTCATAATATAGATAATAAAATGTATAATCACAAAGATTTTAATGAAATAATACATCTCTGTGAGTCCACATAACACAAGTGGATTGTACCCATGTATGGCAGTTGGTCGGAAATTATTTTTAATAGTTAAAACAGTTTACATTATTAGTATTTTTTTTTTTTTATTCTATTGTTTCACTTCAGTATTGATTCATCCACTGAGGTCACATGGACATCACGGTCACTGTGTGTGGTTTTTAAAGCATCTTTAGGGCTTGCAGAGATGGATTACTTTCCTTAAAATCTTAATTCGTATTTATCTGTAGAAAGAAAGTAAAATGCATCTGGGACAGCATGAGGGTAGTAAAATAAGTGAGAATTTTATTTTTGGATGAACTATCCCATTCATATGCTGTTGGTATGCTAATCCATGATCAGCAGAGACTAATAAGAATAAACTGCAACCTCTTGTGTACTGTGTTTGTTTTAATCTAGAGCTCCAAAGAAATTAAAATATTTGCTATTTTATTTATAATATAAAATAAAATACAACAGGTGTCTGAAGATAAGGATCCCAGTCATTCAAAGGTGATATGTCTGAACAAAGTAACATTATTGTCTGATGGAGACAGCTGATCTCTGGTATTATCACTCCATCCTCTGTGTCAGCATCAGAATTTTGTTTGTGGAAAAGTTGCTCAAATCCCTGGAAAATGAGAAAGGAAATATATTATAATCTAACAATACAAACTGCTTTGAACTCCCACATGCAGTAACCATTTGCAGACTTAAAATAATTATTTCAAACAAATTATATAAATGTTTTAAGGGATTTTACAGTACCAATGTTTACCTGACTCACACACCATTTATCATCTGTAATACTATTGTATAACCAGTAGATGGCTCTATAGCCCAATAAACATTTATCCATGGCTGTGTAGCGTCTACTCCCTAGTTGCTGGATTTTTTCAGTCATAATTACTTGCATGTATTAGGTTTTGAATTGGATATATATATATTATATATATATATATATATAAATTATTAAAGACTATTAAAAATTCAACATTTTTCTCCAAAATGTTTTTTTAACATAATTATTACTAAAATATGGATACAGAAAAAGCATTTTGTTGCCTTTTGCAGAATAAATATTGTGCCCAGGGTTATACTTCAAAACAAATGAGTGTTTACATATTATGAATGGAGACGTGGAAAATGGTCAAGTACTCTCTCTCTTCTTTTAAAAACTCTGCATCACAAATTAATCAGCAATTGGCTTTACATTGCAAAGTTGAACCGGGCAGTGATTGACAGGGCTCTGGTCCAATGGCATCGGTCATTGTCTGATACAGTACATTTTGTACTGTAGGCTACAGTACAGATACTGTACAGTACTCTAGCACAATGTTGTTTGGGGTGGCAGAGGGGAAATATGATCTAATTGAAGCAAATATGATCTAATCGAAGACTGTAACCGTATGTAACGTTAGATAAACAAGACATGTAATGATTGGGCTAAAAACTTACCAATTAAATCAAGAAAACACTGCTGTATAATTTTATGGGCTCTCACTGAGCTCTAATATGCCTCTCCACCTGAAAAAGCAAGAACTGTATTATAATTAGTATTAGTTTTTTTTTTTTTTTTTTTTTTTTTTTTGTAATTTCTAACTTTCTTTATTGCAGTGAAAAACATATGGGGCAAGATCAGAAGAAATATACAGCAGAAGAATATAGTACACAGCTTTAAAAAGTACATTAATAAGAATTAAACATTGTGTCAAAAACCAGTTAATACATTAATTCTGCCTTAAACGGTTAATCCCACATCTGGAAATTTTTGGGTAATTACAGATGCAAAAAAAAAACACAATACTGTAAATGCAAATTATATAATATATATATTTATAAAAATATTACTATTAAAAAGATTTAATTAGGAAGAAACGTCTATTGTTTTAGAGGAAGGGCTTTTTTTTTTTTTTTTTTTTTTTTTTTACCCCCATTCTCAAAAAGAAAGAAAAGTACCAGTAAAAGGAAACATGACAGAAGATGAATGCATTTCTGAAACAAAGAACATCAGAAAACTATGCAGCTGGATATGGTAATTTAGATAAATTTGTCAGCAAGGTGTGCTCCCAGTATTTCATTTTACTTCCTGTGTTGGTGTCCCGGTGCACCTGACATTATGTTAAGGAATAGCTCAACAAGTCAGAGCACAAATAAAGCAAAAGCTTCAAATAAAATATTTATGCCTAGCATGCAACCAATCCAGAGTCAACAGTGGAAGATGAAACAACTGGTTTTAATCCCCATGGGGAATGCAGGGTGAAGATCGATGACCAACATCTCCCATGTTTCTATCATGTGGAGCTGTGTCAAAAATGAACCAGGACTGATGGAGAGGAAAGAGTGCTGACATGGGAGGTATAACTGTACATATCGGCTAATTAGTATTAGTTTAGTATTAATTAATAAAAAAAATAAAAAACAATCAGACCACGAGTAGCCTATGCTATCCAGTATTCTGATATCGACGATGACAAATTATATCATTTGTCTGTATTCCTTCTATAAGAAATCATATCAACAATATAGTGTAGCAGTAAATAAATATAGAAATAAACTTAATATCACCTAAATGAAATAGAAAGCTACGCTTACAGACGCTCACTCAAACGTGTAAACACAACACTCACTGACGTCTTCACTTCCAGGTCAAGAAGCTGTCAATCAAAAGCTCAGTAGCCAATGAGAATACACTGCTACTAGCCCCGCCCCCACGAGAGATTTGTGTCAGAACAGCGAACGCAAACTCAGGGAGTGTAAACAAAAACTTCAGAAGCGTAAATGAAAACTCTGGAAGCGCGTTTGTAAGTGTAGATCAGTAAACGAAATATGAAGAATAGTTAGCAAAACATGTAGTGTATTAAAAACAAAGTCAAAAAAATTGCTTGCGGTTCATTCTTTTTCAGTTTCAAAGATATTTTATTCAGTTTCAATTTATATTTTCATTCGTTTCTTGAAAAGTTACGTTCATTTTTATTGGCTCAAAATTAATTCGATACAGTCACGGCTGTAGGAATAAGTTGCAGGAGTGTAATTCACACAATTCACCACAGGAGGGCGACTGGCTAAGTTGCCTTGTTATAAAGTTTTAGTGCTTAACTTTTTGTGTTCAAAATGTTCAAAGGTTATATAGTGAGCGAGTACATGCATCAGTTGTCCAAATCGTGCTTTGTCTTATCCTGAATCACTGTGGTACACCTATAATAAGTGTTTATATTCGGACTATTTTATACTGGTTCTGGTCTTACCGCTGCGGAGGAGCACAGGACCTGCGTGACTCGTCATACATGTTTGGTTCAATATTAAATTATACTCTAACTTAACGTTACCTTTGGCTCGTGGAGAGAATAATATTCATTTGAACTTTTTTCATTTCACTTGAACACACACCAGAATTCTTGCAGAGTCGATTTATCTATTTCGCTGACTCAAATCTTTAAATGTTTATGGGTAAAATTACAGCAGTGTAATTCACACAGTTCACCACAGGAGGGCGTCCAGATAAAAACAAATGTTCGTCTTAACCTTAAAACCGTATTCTGGACAAATGTGCACTGTTAAATGTTTCTGTTAATTTACACCCAAATTCCAACATGATTAACCTGTTATTGTTAATAACTGTTTTGATTATCATTGAGTTGTACGTTGATGTTTAAATTTGTTGTTTTATTGTTTTTTTGTTTTTTATTACAGATGCAAATGCAGGGTGTCAATGCTGATCACAATGCTGTTCAAGATGATATACCAGGATATATTTCTCAGAACCAGGTGAAAATTTAAATGGTTTCTTACTTGCTTTAATCTAGCAATTAACTGCTAATCTTTCTAAAAATCGAATTGGCTTTCATAATGTTTTCTTGCCAAATTTGTGGACAACAGTCAGCCACCTCTGTGGCCTATGTGAGGCACATAAGAATTCACAGCAACATACCCAATTTAGTACTGCAGTGCTGTATGCCTAATTGCCAAAGGACATTTAAAAAATGTGCTGGTCTGAAGGGACATATTTACAGACATCATCAGGATAGTATTGTTAAGCAAAGATCGATTAGGCTAGTGGATCTTACATGTCATGTTTCCTCCTGCCGTGCCAAATGTGACTCCTTGACTGAGTTTTACTCTCATCTTAAAGTGCACATCAAAGAAGGACGAACTATTGTTTGTCCCTTCAAGCAATGTGATAAAACATTTACTGTGATTTCTACATTTACATCTCATTTGTCACGAAAACATAAAAGAAGTGAAGAGGTTAATTTAACGGATTCTGTTATTGGTCTGGCTGGTGTAAGTGGATCTAGTGGTCCTCATGGTCATGGAGACAGTGATTTGCAGTGTGATGTGGAGATTGATGCTGCTGATAATGCAGACCATTTGGAGTTTAGCCCAGAAAATATTGAAGATTCACTTTTTTTGAGGAATCTTGCTCTGTTTTATCTTAAGCTACAGGCAAAGTTACTGCTTCCGGCCTCCACCATTCAGACAATCATTGAAGATATGCAGTCAATAGATGATCTCAGCCAGTCTCAGTTATTTTCTAAATTGGATGAGAAGTTACGTCAGATGATTCAATTAGGGCTAATTGATGATCTGAGAGCAGAAGATCTTTTCCGAACTCACAATACACACGCATTAAAAACAGATCTACGTAGAAAGACTGTTTTCAAGAGTCAATTTAAATATGTCGAACCTGTACCAATATGCCTGGGACAAAATGAAGCCGGCAAGGACAGCTTTGCCCATTATGTCCCAATAGGCCAAACACTCAACTCTCTTTTTCAGAGTCAGTCTGTATTTGAGCAGTACAAACAAGTTCATGCCCATACAGAAACTGACAATGTGTTTCAGGATGTGTGTATCCCCCACTGTCTCTTTATCCATCTCTTCCTGTCTCTCCATTCTATCTATCTCACTTAGTGGTAGCCTTATGTAATTAATTATATGTTTAATTTGTTCTATGTCCTAGGGATGTGCCACTGCAGCTGACCTTGAGAGTTCACTCTCTATACCTGCAACTCCTCGTCTGATACTTCTTGGTAAGTTGGTTTTAGAAAGGACAGTTGGCTTTAGTGTTGTATGTATAGTGGTATCAAACTAAACTGTATTCAAAATGAAAACTAAAACAGAAATTTGACCGTTAAAACTTTTCTGTTTCAGGAGAAACGGGAAGCCGCTTCCAGCGCTGGATGCTCAGCCTTGAGGGCCAAATTATTTGCGAAGGGAAGGGATCCAGTCCACCTTTGTGACAGGGCTGGCGTCTCTTTTTTCCTGTTTTTATAACTTTAACCTACAGTATCAAGAGGAGGCAGCCTGCACGCTTGAATTCATCCAGAGGTAAGCTATTGTCTGTTAACTTCTGCATTTTTTCAGGCCTAGCTGTGGCTCAAGCATGGTCCCAATAGGTCTGGTGATGGGATTTAGCAATTAACTTTGATTTAGAAAGTTTTAGTGCAACTTACACCATTCCCAGAGGCAAGAAGATAGTGCATGTTGAGGAAAGTTAATTTATATTTGTTGTCTTTGTTGTGCTGTTAGTCTGTGTGAATTACTAGATTTTTAACCAGTGTATAATTTTCCAGACGCTTTGTGGGTATAAATCCAGAAAAAGGGACAAAGACTGCAAAGGGGAAAAAAAGAAGAACTGTTAATTCACACGTCGCCAGCCTCTTGCGCAAGCTCATGGACTTTCAGTGGGATTTCATTTGAAAATGGTGAGTAATATATATATATATATATATATGCATTACACATGTTCAAACAGCAATGACTCAGGAGGCTGGGTAAATTCATTCTAATGTTCATTCTCAACTGCCTTTCAAAGTTAGAATACTGAACTCCTCTTCCATGCTCTTTTGCCATTATTTTTTTTTCCCTTTCAATAAATTGTACTCATCACCCTTTCTATTATTTTATGTCATCCTGTATTTTTTGTGCTCTGTTTCTAAAATTAGCTTTTGTTAGGTCAAGCCATGTGATATCATTTTGGATTAAAAAATTATTAAAATTATGGAACTCACCTCCCTCTCTCTCTCTCCCTCTCTCCCTCCCTCTCTCTCATATACAGACCCAAGACTTTCAGAATGAAGATGAAGAGTTCCATTAAGTGTTAAGTACTGGTTTTATTGTATTCATACATGTTGAATTTTAGTGGTTTAAGTGTTGAGGTTCAGTATTTTGTTATAATGAACAATGTATTGGAGTTTAAAAATGTAAGTGTATTTGCTACTTTTTAAGCTGAGAAAATGAGATTTGTTTGTGAATAATCTGAGCCTATGTGTAACATTTTTAGGTAACCAGGAGTCAGTGTATATCCTTGGTTTGAGTTTTTTTAGCCAAATGTTTGCAGTTCAGGGAACATTAAATGTTGAGGTTTAGGGCCCTATCTTGCACTGACGCAGCGCAAAGCCAAACGCAAGTGTCTTTGCTAGTTTAAGACAAGACACAGTTGTTATTTTCCACAGATGTCAGCAATGAACATATATATTATATACAGTATATTTCTGTGATTGGTCTGAGCCATGTATTCCTACATTTTGTGTGTTTGTATTACAATAAAAAAGTTAATTTCTAGACCAAACTATTAGTTTTCTTTCTCTTAAGTGTTATCTGATGAATTATGCCTATTATTGTATTAACTCAAGCTATAATATCTCTTTAACAATCAGTGGTACACACTAAGAATAATTAATACACGTTATTATAATTATATTAATAATTAATATAACTAAATAAATGCTAAATTTATTAATAAAATAAAACAAATTTATTACTAAATAAAATAAATTTAACAGGAAAATAATGGTAACTCTGCTGCCAGTTGTTTCCTGTTTTTTTCTGTGTTTCACAGTAAATTACTGTTGAAAAACATTATGGGAAACACTGTATTCCAAATTTGATATTTGATCCATCAGTCTCACACCATTATTTATGCAAATTGTAAGTGCTGTGTAAAATGCATCTACAAGTGCTCCTTCAAAAATATAAGTGTAGACCCATGTGTTTTAATTATAGGCCTACTTGGCTTTTAGCCTTTCTGTTTGTATTATGTATAAAGTAAAATGTAATGTGTAAAATGTAACGTGTGCTTGGAGAATGGGTTAAGATTTTTTTTTGTTATTATAGAGATTCTTTAGTCACCTCTTTTTATATATTCTCACAAAAATCATGTTGTTAAATTAATGCTATTTATTAAAACAATAATAGAGCTGAGCTTGCTATTTTACCATGTCAGGAAAGAAGAGGATGTGTGACATTGTGATTTAAAAAAAAAAAAAAAAAAAATATTTAAAGTTTATTCCTTGTATCGTGACCCATACATGGATTTCTCTAAGCCCCGGATGTCCACTCACCCTAGAACCGCCCCTGATCGCAGATGTAAAATATATTTTTAGAAAATTTGAAAGGTAATTGCCAGATGTTTTACTGCGTCACATGGCAACCAACAATTTATTAAATATTACAAAATATTGTAACTCAAAGTTTTCCTCTGACTGCAGTCACAGCTGTAGAAATAAGTTGCAGCAGTGTAATTCACACAATTCACCACAGGAGGGCGACTGGCTAAGTTGTCTTGCTATAAAGTTTTAGTGCTTAACTTTTTGTGTTCAAAATGTTCAAAGGTTATATAGTGAGCGAGTACATGCATCAGTTGTCCAAATCGTGCTTTGTCTTATCCTGAATCACTGTGGTACACCTATAATAAGTGTTTATATTCGGACTATTTTATACTGGTTCTGGTCTTACCGCTGCGGAGGAGCACAGGACCTGCGTGACTCGTCATACATGTTTGGTTCAATATTAAATTATACTCTAACTTAACGTTACCTTTGGCTCGTGGAGAGAATAATATTCATTTGAACTTTTTCATTTCACTTGAACACACACCAGAATTCTTGCCGAGTCGATTTATCTATTTCGCTGACTCAAATCTTTAAATGTTTATGGGTAAAATATCAGCAGTGTAATTCACACAGTTCACCACAGGAGGGCGATAAAACTCCATTTTAAAGAATATCGCAGCATAGGGGTGGGCTAATGGGGGCTGTTTTCAGTAAAGCCCCGAATGTTTTTTATTCCCATGCATTGTACACACCATCACTGAGAGAATTTAATTAATTAAATGTATATTTCTCGACTCTCGCATCGTAGCGTCCGTCAACATACGCATTGTCATTCACAACCGACAAGAACCGCCCATTCAGGCTAGTGCTTCTGACTGACATGTAAACTGGCCAACCATCGATGAGAAGCAACGCGTCTGTACGATCCAGCCAATGAAATTAAATATTTTGGAGCCAGGTGTTTGTTGATGATGTGTAAGTTAGTAATGAATGAGTAAAATTGATACAACAGCTTCAGCAGGTAACTTCTAATCATAGTATTAGATTTCATTCTTTAGATTGTCAGATATGCTACATTTTGATCGTTTAACACTTTGTGCAGCACAGTCAATAGGACGTGCACGTGCGCGCGCGCGCACACGCATTTTAAGAGCGTTATATGTTTGGTCAGCATGGCCAAACGTAAAGAAAATATTTCGCTAACGAAAATGGTTTCAAACAAAGCATCACAGTGTTTATTAATTGAATTTGCTTGTAAACGATTCACTGACCGCCATTCAAAATCATTTCTTACTTTTTTCCTAAATGAATCATCTGATTTGAACGAATCGATCGAACGAAGTACCATTTTCATTTTTTCAATATTTCATATTTCTGTATTCCAAATTTGATATTTGATCCATCAGTCTCACACCATTATTTATGCAAATTGTAAGTGCTGTGTAAAATGCATCTACAAGTGCTCCTTCAAAAATATAAGTGTAGACCCATGTGTTTTAATTATAGGACTTGGCTTTTAGCCTTTCTGTTTGTATTATGTATAAAGTAAAATGTAATGTGTAAAATGTAACGTGTGCTTGGAGAATGGCTTAAGATTTTTTTTTGTTATTATAGAGATTCTTTAGTCACCTCTTTTTATATATTCTCACAAAAATCATGTTGTTAAGTGAATGCTATTTATTAAAACAATAATAGAGCTGAGCTTGCTATTTTACCATGTCAGGAAAGAAGAGGATGTGTGACATTGTGATTTTTAATTTTAATTAGCAAGAAAGATCCACCTTGTTAAAAAAAAAAAAAATTATTTAAAGTTTATTCCTTGTATCGTGACCCATACATGGATTTCTCTAAGCCCCGGATGTCCACTCACCCTAGAACCGCCCCTGATCGCAGATGTAAAATATATTTATAGAAAATTTGAAAGGTAATTGCCAGATGTTTTACTGCGTCACTTGGCAACCAACAATTTATTAAATATTACAAAATATTGTAACTCAAAGTTTTCCTCTGACTGCAGTCACGGCTGTAGGAATAAGTTGCAGCAGTGTAATTCACACAATTCACCACAGGAGGGCGACTGGCTAAGTTGTCTTGTTATAAAGTTTTAGTGCTTAACTTTTTGTGTTCAAAATGTTCAAAGGTTATATAGTGAGCGAGTACATGCATCAGTTGTCCAAATCGTGCTTTGTCTTATCCTGAATCACTGTGGTACACCTATAATAAGTGTTTATATTCGGACTATTTTATACTGGTTCTGGTCTTACCGCTGCGGAGGAGCACAGGACCTGCGTGACTCGTCATACATGTTTGGTTCAATATTAAATTATACTCTAACTTAACGTTACCTTTGGCTCGTGGAGAGAATAATATTCATTTGAACTTTTTTCATTTCACTTGAACACACACCAGAATTCTTGCCGAGTCGATTTATCTATTTCGCTGACTCAAATCTTTAAATGTTTATGGGTAAAATATCAGCAGTGTAATTCACACAGTTCACCACAGGAGGGCGATAAAACTCCATTTTAAAGAATATCGCAGCATAGGGGTGGGCTAATGGGGGCTGTTTTCAGTAAAGCCCCGAATGTTTTTTATTCCCATGCATTGTACACACCATCACTGAGAGAATTTAATTAATTAAATGTATATTTCTCGACTCTCGCATCGTAGCGTCCGTCAACATACGCATTGTCATTCACAACCGACAAGAACCGCCCATTCAGGCTAGTGCTTCTGACTGACATGTAAACTGGCCAACCATCGATGAGAAGCAACGCGTCTGTACGATCCAGCCAATGAAATTAAATATTTTGGAGCCATGTGTTTGTTGATGATGTGTAAGTTAGTAATGAATGAGTAAAATTGATACAACAGCTTCAGCAGGTAACTTCTAATCATAGTATTAGATTTCATTCTTTAGATTGTCAGATATGCTACATTTTGATCGTTTAACACTTTGTGCAGCACAGTCAATAGGACGTGCACGTGCGCGCGCGCGCACACGCATTTTAAGAGCGTTATATGTTTGGTCAGCATGGCCAAACGTAAAGAAAATATTTCGCTAACGAAAATGGTTTCAAACAAAGCATCACAGTGTTTATTAATTGAATTTGCTTGTAAACGATTCACTGACCGCCATTCAAAATCATTTATACTTTTTTCCTAAATGAATCATCTGATTTGAACGAATCGATCGAACGAAGTACCATTTTCATTTTTTCAATATTTCATATTTCTGTATTCCAAATTTGATATTTGATCCATCAGTCTCACACCATTATTTATGCAAATTGTAAGTGCTGTGTAAAATGCATCTACAAGTGCTCCTTCAAAAATATAAGTGTAGACCCATGTGTTTTAATTATAGGCCTACTTGGCTTTTAGCCTTTCTGTTTGTATTATGTATAAAGTAAAATGTAATGTGTAAAATGTAACGTGTGCTTGGAGAATGGGTTAAGATTTTTTTTTTGTTATTATAGAGATTCTTTAGTCACCTCTTTTATATATTCTCACAAAAATCATGTTGTTAAGTGAATGCTATTTATTAAAACAATAATAGAGCTGAGCTTGCTATTTTACCATGTCAGGAAAGAAGAGGATGTGTGACATTGTGATTTAAAAAAAAAAAAAAAAAATTATTTAAAGTTTATTCCTTGTATCGTGACCCATACATGGATTTCTCTAAGCCCCGGATGTCCACTCACCCTAGAACCGCCCCTGATCGCAGATGTAAAATATATTTATAGAAAATTTGAAAGGTAATTGCCAGATGTTTTGCTGCGTCACATGGCAACCAACAATTTATTAAATATTACAAAATATTGTAACTCAAAGTTTTCCTCTGACTGCAGTCACGGCTGTAGGAATAAGTTGCAGCAGTGTAATTCACACAATTCACCACAGGAGGGCGACTGGCTAAGTTGCCTTGTTATAAAGTTTTAGTGCTTAACTTTTTGTGTTCAAAATGTTCAAAGGTTATATAGACCATTTCACAAGATGTAAACAACACTGGTCCAGAAACACTTCCTGTTTCAGTTTGTAACTGTTTTCTTTATTTCACATGTAAAGAAATATCTTAAAGATGTTTGTTTAACTTTTTGATTTAGTTTTAAATGTTCTGTTGGTTGTATTTTATCCCAGCTTTTATGTAGTGTTAAAAAACTGAAACAGGAAGTGCTTCTGGACCAGTGTTGTTTACTTCTTGTGAAATGGTCTATAGTGAGCGAGTA